AGAATGGCCATAATAGTGTATAAATATTTATTAGGTTTAATTTTATTTTAGGTTTAATTATATTTTAGAGTAAATTATATATATATATATATATATATATATATATAAATATATATCTCGCATCTCGCAGACGTTCATGGACGAGGAGCGGGTGGCGAAACTAACGTCAAAGTTCTACGGGGAGCGGCAGCCGGAGGACGAGAACGTCACCCGCTTTATACAACGGAAGCGGTCCATGGCCCAGTGGCTGCTGCCCGAGGTGCCAGAGGCGAGCTTGGTGCGGGTTGTGTTTAACCTGCTCCAGCCACGACTCAAATATGTGCTCCAGGCGGAGAACACCGCCGACATGGCGACGTTGACACGCCGGATCCGCATTACGGAGGCAGATATGCGTGGGTGCGATTTTAACCGCGCTACCGCGATCGGGGGAGAGTGTTACTCCGAAATAAACACTTTGACAGTGCAGAAAAAGACAAGTCCCGTGATAGACATTAAGTGCCGCGGGCAAGTAGGTAAATTAAGTGCGTTAGTTGACACAGGTGCGGATATGTCGCTAGTGGCTGCAGAGTAGGCGCCGGATTACGTGAAGAAGTAGGCGCGAGTTTTAGCCGTAGGCGGTAACACCGTAGAGATCCTCGGCTACGTCCAACTGCATTTCACGATCCACGACCGCGCGTACCGGTACACCATGCACGTAGTGCAACACCTACCGGTTCCCGTTATACTAGGGATAGACTTCCTCACGGAGCAGCGAGCGCTCGTCGACGTCGCCCGAGGATGCGTCTACCTAGGGAAAGAAGAACGGCAGACGGTATTTTGGACACCGCGTGCCTGGTGCGCCCAGGAGGTGCTCCCGCTTCCCGAACTACCGACCGATATCCCAGAGGAGGCCCTAGGTAAGTATAGGCCCACTAGTCCGACATAATTTTGGAGGTGGGGCTTATTTTTCAGGTATAAAATAAGTTTTAAGACTTTATGAAATTATTGCTTATATTCAACTTGAATATAAAGTGTCTTTTTTTAAATTGTTCTTAAAAAAACAAAAATCATCATGGACAGAGTATGGGAAGAAATTATTATGGATTTGCCGAAGTATAGTGAGAGAATGGGGGGCGCATACACGCCAAAATCTCTTAAAGTTCTCTGCAGACAGGTTGTAAATTCGAATTTAACTGTGGCCGAAATAGTAAGCGGAAAACTACCGGCGATTCTCAACGGTGAAGTGATCCAGAACAGAATTGTCGATTTCATAACGGGTCATGAAATTGACAATTCATTAGTACGCAGACGAGATTTAAGGAATATGCAGATTGACGCTAAATGGACTAAAAAAAAGCGGTGGAGCAGTTAGGTTTAGCATACATGCTATTCGCCCCATAATAAAACTGTTTATCCCAAATAGGAAATATTACTGCACCATCAATAAATTTTATTTTACTACATATGGGCATATGTGCAACAGCTGCTGGGGTGACAGATATGCTCTGAAAAATTTTAATTTACACAATTACACCGCAGAATATAGGCACTACTTGGAGTTCGAGGAAGTTTTGAACCTATATTTATGGCCCGAAAATTGGTGCAATTTCTGCAATCGTCGGGTCCTATTCGACGTTGTACGTATATGCCATTTTCCTAGAATAGCGCCCGGGGAAATTACAGACGCTAGCGATAGCGATACACAGGACGACAGCGATGATACCGACAATGCGAATATATGAACTGTTTTTTTTGTATATTTAGATTATTTAATTAATTTTTTTCTTAAATATAATTAATTTTTGTATAATTTGTAATATATATTTAAGATTTAATTTTTTATTTTAGGTTAAATTATATATTTGTCTTTTTTAAGCTTCCCTTTCTCTATAACGCATTCACCCCCTACCTGTATTTGATATACTTTTTAGTTGTGTGGAAAAAGCTATAAAAGCTTTATTTTTAAAACATTTACCATTTTATATTTTTCAATATTACGCTGAAGACTTTTTTTATTATCTGGATAGATTTTGGGCTTCTTTGATTCGTAATACGAGGAAATCTAGTGTTGTTGAAGACAATACGCACCAACCTAAAACTTTGAAAACATTGTGTAAGGAGGTTATCAATGCAAAACTAAATACTTGTGAAGTGGTTGAGGCTAAACTAAGTGAAACAGTTGTTAACGAGGTGTTTCAAAACCGGGTTCAAGACTTCGCCATGAGTTTTGATTTGGACGATTCAGTGTTATATAGAAATATATTCGGCCCCATAACCGACTGTTGGGGTGAAGAAGCTTTGAGGCGGTTTTGGGGGTTTAGGACGGATGGGGTTTTGATCGAATCCATTTTCAGATCGTTATTACCGGCTGCAGAGCAATTCTGCGTTACAAACAAGTTTTACCATACGACCCATGGTAAAATTAACTATTTTCATTACAAAAAATTCAATTTCTTATCAAACCTTATGTTTTTATTTTAAATTACAGGGCCCATTATCTGGATTCATCTATGAAAAGAATATTTTGTCTCTATTCGCAATTCGCTGTGCATTGAACAATGCCATTAAGAATTTTAAAATTGGAACGAACGTCAAAGATTTTGGATCATTGGATGACATCATAATTATTATAGACGTTGAACATTACGATGGGGGAAGGGAAATGTTCATTTGTCAATTTAATCACAAGAATGAACCCAAATTGGATTTAAACAAATTTATTATGGATTATTGTTCAATAAAAAAAGAACACAAAGATGTCAAAATAAATATAATTATACATACAATCGCACAAAAGGATCAAATATCACAGCACAGAGCATTGGAGGATGTTAATTTGTACAATTCAAAATTAAAAATATTTAATACAAATGAAAAAGGGTTATTGCATAAATACAATAGAAAAAGTTTAAATATTAGTAATAAAAGTATTCCTGAAAATATCATAGAACAGTTTTTAAACAATTGCTTCGTATTTTCAAATTAAAGCAACAAGGACGAACTAATAGATATAATAAGAAGAGAGTTTAAGGAAAGCGTTAAAGATGAGCAGTTCCAGCTTATATTAACTTATTTTGATGGCTTTTATACATATATTAAAAGAAAAGAATTTATTTCAAAAGAAGAAATTATATGGATGTTAAAAGTTAAAATTTTTTACCCATTTGTAGACCAGGTTCTTGAAAATGATATTGATAATAATTATATTGACAACATAATAATGGAAACATTAAATTTATTTAATGTTTCCAGATTGTCTTATGAATCAATTAGTATAGTTTTAAGAATATGGTAGAAGAATATGAAGAATTACGTCTCGCCGATAGGTTTAACTCAATTTTAGTAGATATTGATATTTGCCGTAATGATAGGAATTATTATAATACAAATATGTTTAAATGTTTTTTAGAAGACAATCCAAGATATAATAACTACTTCATTTGGCTGAAGTTGGTACATAAACTTGATTATTTTATATATAGTAATATATAGGACGTAAGTTAAATGAAAAGGAATAGATTTTATGATTAATTATGGATTTTTATATAATCAATCCGTACCTAAATTATTTTTCCCCTGCTTAGGATTAGGCAAATATATTTATTTACTATAGTAAGGCAATTGTAATATACCAACCTACCATTTTTTATATAACATTTTGTTATATTTTTAGTTTAAGTAATATAATATATTGTAGTTTTATGTTAATTAATAAGTTTGTATTTCAAATAATCTTAATTTAGTTCTCTTGTTTATTTGCTCTCTTAACTACAGTTCCTAGAAACTGTTTTGAAGTTTATTAAATTGTAATTAGGATAAAAGAAACTAATAAACAAGAATACAACCTATCATTGAATTTTGGTAAACCAAACTTTGGTACATTATATAAAATGCAGTGATGTAACCGATACATTTTTTTCAGTATCTATATAGGTACCGATACAGATACTCTCTGGTAGATGTATCTGGGTACAGATACAGATACATTCAAAAAGTATCTAAGTTACTTCCAGATACTATGTTAAAAAAACTTAAAAATTAAATGACAAAAAAAATGTTTGGACCTTATAAACAAGCGTGTTAACTATAAAATAAAACTGTTTTGATAAAATTGACGAAATATCCATGAAAAACGGAAATAAATTTTATATTTACGCCCCATATGAAAGCTTACTACAAAATTTGTAGTACAAATTCAAAATTATCAGAATCCATAGAGTATATCCATTGGATGTTCATTTTCCGTGTGGCCCACACGGTGTGGAGTTGCAATCAGGTTGAGTAAAATAAAATGTATCTTGTATCTAAGGATCTAGATACTTTCAAAAGGATCTAGATACTAAAGTAGATCCTGATTTTTTTAAGTATCTCGATACGTATCTAGGTACATAAAATGTATCTAGATCCAGTATAATGGTTATAGCGCACAATTAATTAATAATTTACCAAGTAACAATAAATCAAGTTTTTCCAAACAACATTGTCACATAGACTAGTAATTTTTTCAAAAAACATAATATTTTTATTGCATTTAAAACCAACAACAATTTGAGTACATTTATAAAAAACAAAAAAGATAAATCTAAGAAAGATACGAAATCCGGAGTCTACCAACTACAATGTGCAGACTGTCCAAAAACTTACATGGGCCAAACTGGCCGAAATTTTAAAACCAGAATGAATGAACATAGAAAATCTTTTATAAATCAAAAAACAGATTCAACTTATGCCAACCATTTAATTCAAGAAACCCATTTATTTTACAATAAATTTAAAATTTTACTTGTTGCAGATAGTTACGAAGTTAAATTCACTTGAATCATTAAAAATTAATAAATTTAAAAAATCTGATAGTATCCTCAATGATCAAATAGAAACAATTAATTTCCCTCTGTTAAATTTATTTTAATATTATATAAAATTCCCCAAAATTATTTTATTACAACTCCGACAGGTAAAATTGTTATGCTGTACTAAAATTTTCTAAATAAAAACCATCTTTGAAAATTAATAAACTAAATTTAGTTCTTAATGACCAAATTGAAACCAACAGCTTTCCTTTGCTAAATTTATTTTAGAATGTATACTTGTAGTACTTAAATTAATATTTATTAATATTATAAAATTATATTCGATAGGACTTTTCCAAAATTGTGTAAGTTTTATTAATACCTTCAGGTATAATGTTTATACAACACTTATTTTCTCAAATTACGTACCATTATAAATACCGCCACTTAATAAAAATATTTATACATATTTGATTGTTTCGACCTTTACTTTCTGCAAATAGCCGCCAATAATGGATATCCAGCACAAATAATCAATAAAATTTTAAAAAACAAAAAACAAAAAATTGCCATTAACCAAATATTTCCAATACAAAAAACCCATACTAATACGTACAATATTTTTACATACCTAGGTTATAACATGAGACACGTTTTTACCTTGTTTAAAAAAATCAACAGCGAACTCGCTTTTAAAACTAAGAATAACTTAGGTATTTTAATTAAAAATAACAAAGATAAATCTAACAAACATAAAGCTTTATTCACAACCTCTAAATTAACGTAGTAATTAGCAATTACAATTAAACGTAGAAGTTTGCCTCACTTAAACCAATGCGGTTGTTCACAACCTCGAAATTAGTACGTAACGGGAAATTAGTAATTAGTGCGTAACGCAGAAGCTTGCAAGGTCCAAGCTTTTTCAAGTAAATTAGTCGTCAAGTCGCTACTACGCATGCTTCAAAATCATTGAATTGTCAGCTGTGTGATTTCTAACCTAACTTTGTTACCTTAATTCATATTTATATTATTAAATATGGATCAAAGACTTTTGATGGGGCAATTAGCTTTAGTATTGGGTTATTTTTATCTCAAAAATAAAAAAACTCGAAATACTCGAAGATGGTGGGTACGGCCCATTAATAAAAATCGTTTGCAATTTGGAGATTTTGAAAACCTAGTACAAGAAATGCGGTTAACGGATACTGAAATGTTTTTTAACTACACAAGATTAGATGTGGACCAGTTTGATAGGTTACTTAATGTAGTTGGACCTAAACTACAAAAACAAAGCTACCGAAAGCCTATTTCTCCAGGGGCTCGCTTAGCTCTCACTTTAAGGTAATTATATCATATAATTTATATGAGAAGGTTTATTAACATTTATTTTATATGTAGACATTTGGCAGCAGGAGATAGTATCCCCACATTATCATTTGCCTTTCGAATTGGGAAATCAACAACTTGCTCCATTATTAATGAAACATGTGAGGTAGTGTGGAATGAGTTGAAAGACTCTGTTTTAAAAGAGCCAAGCAAAGAAGAATGGGAAGCTATAAGCAGTGATTTTGAATTAATCTGGCAGTTACCAAATTGTTTAGGTAGCATCGATGGAAAACATGTTTCCATAAAAGCCCCACAAAATAGTGGTTCTTTATTTTATAATTATAAAAAAACATTCAGCATAGTACTATTTGCTGTTTGTGATGCAAATTATTGTTTTTCCTATGTAGACATTGGGGCATATGGATCTCAGAGTGATGGTGGAGTCCTAAAAAGTTCTTCTTTTGGATATAAATTAAATAATAATTTACTGCACATTCCTACTAAGAAATGTTTTCCAGGGACAAATATGGAAACACCTTACTTTTTTGTGGGTGATGAGGCATTTCCCTTGCAAATAAACCTTATGCGACCATTTGGAGGAAGAAACTTATCAAAAGATAAAATTATTTACAATTATAGAATTTCCCGTGCTAGACGGTGTATTGAAAACACCTTTGGAATAATGGTGGCAAGGTTCAGAATATTCCACACAACAATATTTAAAAATCCTGAAAATGTGGATAAATTAATTAAATTAGCTGTTTGTCTTCATAATTATATAAAAAAAGATAAATCCAGAAGAAAATATGCTCCCCCAAACTTTGTCGATAGAGAAGTAAATGGAGAAGTTACTCTTGGTGAGTGGCGACAGGATATACCAGAAAATGGTGCCTTACGAGATGTTTCAGAATTAAGGAGAAGAATTGGTTGTCGAAATGCTACGGCTACTGCTACTAACTATAGAGATTTTATTAAAAATTATGTTAACACAATTGGTGCTGTTCCTTGGCAAAATGAAATGGTATAAATTTTTATTAAATGAAAACAAAATAAATTTTACAATAAATTTTATTAATACAAACATAAAAATAATTTTTTATTGATTATATCTAAAAATCTTTTTTTTTGAATTAGTAATACCATAACTTCATCTTTTAATTCATCCGCTAGGTTGTTTGGTAACTTTGACAATTCTTCATCAAGATATGCAGCAAATTTGGCATGTTTGGTGACATTTACTGGGGCACTAAGACTTTTCGAAATTGATTGCAAAGCTTCTGCCACATTCATGTCAGCATCAGTTTTTCTTTTTCTTTTGGCGCCAAAAATGGGAGTGATTTCAGCAGAATATGGCTTGTCAGGTCTATTCGATGGGCCTGCTTCTTGTTCCACCTCTATGTTGTCATCATATGGCTGAGAATCTGTTGCTTCCATGTTTGTTATCTCACTTAACGGGGAAAAAATACCTGATGACAACATTTCTTCATTTGAGATTTGCGGGTCTATCTCAATTAAAATTTCTTTTCTTTTTGATTCAAAACTACAAGAAGTTTTTCTAGGGCGAATCACCTCTTCTAAAAACTGCATTAATTGGTACAGCTCCCAGTCTTTTTGTTTTAATGCTCCTGCACCACTTCTTGTAGCTTTTTCTTTTTGTTTTTTTATCCTTCCAAACTTTTCTCTCAGAGATTTAAAATACTGTTTTGCTTCTTCCCCTACAAATATAGAACACAGTATTACTGAATTTTTGAATAAAATTAACAAAATATATTACCTGTATGGTTAAAATTTTCGCCAATTTCATTCCAAATCCTTTCTTTTTTCTTTGCATCCTTAAACATCGATTGTCTTTTATCATAAAGAAACGGATATTCCATTACTTTTGCAATAAATTCTTCCGGAACACAAGTGTTTTCTTTTTCAGACATTATCAGAGGTTAAAAATAAACTTTACACGTGCAGAATGATGAAAACAATACACTTTCACAGAAAGATAGGTTATGTAAGTTTTCATTTACAGCAATAACACTAGATGGCTGCAATAACAGTAATCTACTCGACCGAAATACTTCAGTTCCAAACATTGACACTAGATGGATTCACACTAATTTGCACTAATTTGCATACTAATTTGGGCATTGTGAACGCTGTTAAAATACTAATTTATGTTGAAATTTTCAGTACTAATTTATGTACTAATTATACGGCTAATTTAGAGGTTGTGAATAAAGCTTTAGGGTTTTTAACATTTTAGACAGGTTTGATTTCAATGCCCGCAAAAATAAAAATTTAATTTTCGCTATTCAAAATCAAACAATCAGTCAATATAATTTAAAATAAATTGTATTAAATAAATAATTAAACAGTTTTTTGTGTAGATAGATATATTAATATCTGATTACAGTAATTCCTTAAATTTAATTGATAACTTTTTCCTTCGTATTCGTCTCTAAAGCCACTATATTATTATAATATTTTTGTATACGTATATCTTAATAGATTATAGGACCTATATGACTAATAGGACAGATTTTTGGGCTTTTTACTTGAATTTTACTTACCTTTTAAATTATTATTATATTATTATTATTATTGTAGATAGGTTTAATAATAAATTGAAACCAAAAATTTATTTTCAAACGTTTTTATTCATTACAAATGTTCAACACAAAAAACAATTAAAACAAATATCCAATTCAATAATTATTAAAATGTAACCACTACCTCATTTGACAACAATAAATTATGTATTAATATAGTAAATATGAAGTTTACTGAATACAAAACAATTACCAATATTATATATTATACAAAAATAGGCTGTTTAGATATTTTTTGTAATTGACATATGCAAAACTATTGCTTAAGTTAAAATTTGAAATTATTCATATAATTTTTCATTAATACAAACATTGTTTATTATTTTCCCTTCCAACGTAAAATACAACTTAAATTTATCGAAATAAGAGCTTTGGACAATTAAGAATGTCCGAATGTTTAAAATATTTATCAGTAATCATCCTACATCCAAAAATACATAAAATGTGGGCGATGCATTAAAGAAAATTATGCTTTTTAATGCGCCAAGTTAGTTACCATCTGATAATTGACAGATTTAAATTTTGACAAAAGAAAAAATACGCGGAAAAGTAAACAAAGTTTTTTTATTATTAGTGGATTATCAAAGCACAGGTGTTGCACACGTAAAGTTAGCTGACAAGACTAAACTATTCGGCATTAAAATGGATCTAGCAAAAGAAAAAGGATTTCATTCTTATAATACTTTAAAAATCATTGATGAGGATTAACAAAAGCAAAACAAATATTTTTCTATGACCCCTATGTAAACACAATTTCGTAATGGCGTCGTTGTTTAGAAAATACATTTTTTTTACAACAGCTCGATTTCTTTGAATTTGCGTGATTTCATTAAAATTTGAATTGCATTTGTATTGGTACGTATGTCTAAATATCATTTAGAACACAATTAATTGTATTTTTATAATAAATTATATTTTTTAAATCATAAATTAAATTTAAATCAATTAAAAAAAAGACTTTTTATGTAATAGGCGATTTCGTTTTAGTCATAAAATTTAATTGGGACCAAATCAGATTACATACCTACGTTAAGGGCGTGTCTGTAAAGTTACTAGATGTTTTTGTAATAAAAAGTAATGTTACATAATATGGGTGGTCTTATTATTTAAAAGGCATTTTAGATTTAGCCATAAAATTTAATTAGACCAGATTATATTTCAGGCTTTAAGGGAAGACCTAGAAAAGTTACAAGGTATTTTTGTAATAAAAAGTAATGTTTCCCTAATATGGGTGGTCTTTAGTTTTAGCATAAAAGTAAATATTTCAAAAATATTCCGAGTTATTTTTGCCTATTATTTTACACCATCTACCCTATTTTCTAATATAGTCAATTGTTTTTACCATGTATCTGGAGGGGATGTTAGAATATTTTAGGGCAATATAAATATCTGTTTTATAAAAAAAACCTTAGTTGAAATAAACGGCGCGTGTAATAAATAATACAAAATTTATTTTTTATTTTTTGTTTTATTTTATTCCATTTTATTAAAATTTTGAATTGTAGCCTTAGTGCCATTTTGTTAATCAAATAAAGCGTTTAAATAACTTTGATAGATAAATCAAACAGCACTTTGAATGTGAAAAATTGGAGAATTTTTGGTATAAAAATCGTTTTTTTTTAAATTAAAACATGATTTTTAAGAAAACAACATAATGTTTGTTATTTTAGTATGTTTTGTGTAAAACATAATTATTATTTTAAATTTAAATAAATAGTAGGTACATTTATAAATAAATAATAATATAAATATATAATAATATAAATATATTTAAAAATAATATGTGTTTTCAAAATGTTACAAGAATTAATGGTGTTACGAATATTAAAATTTAAAGCGATTTAAATCACTAACAAAATTATTTTAAAAGTTGTTACAGAAACTGCAGCAAAAACAACCACTAAGGCGACTATACTTATTGAAGAAACTACTTTAAGAACGACTCCTCAAACCAATTTTGCCGACAAGAAAACACTTCCAGCTTCAATTAAACCAATCGATAATGATAATAAAATGGCTGGGAAAAATATAACCAAAATATCTGCTAAAACAACCACTAATGCGACTATAATTATCGAAGAAACTACTTTAAGAACGACTCCTCAAACCAATTTTACCGACAAGAAAACACTTCCTGCGCCAATTAAACCAATCGATAATGATAATAAAATGGCTGGGAAAAATATAACCAAAATATCTTCTAATATCGACGTAATGAAAAATTGGATTTTCCTAGGAATAATTATTAGTGCGTATTCGATAATTATAAAGTTTTATTAAAAACTAACACGTTGACCTCTTCACCAGCAAAATTAAGTGTTTTATGCAGACAGAAGATCAACACATTATATCCAGATATACTGAATTTTAGGTTTCCAACTTTGGATCTTCCTAATGTGCGCATTGCGAAATTACTGACTTCGCGTATGGATGATGGTATACAGGCGTATCCATTAATAAACAAACCACCTCGCAAAAAAGATTTTAGGATGCAGAGGCTGAGAGACAATTGGCGACCTAGATCTTTAAAAGCTTTCTGGGGACGCCGTAATAATATAGAGAGCATTACAAGGATTTTAAAGTTTTTCTTTGTGACCGACAGAAAGTTCGTTACAAATTATGGTAACATATGTGCCACTTGTTACAACAATTAGAGTTATTAAATAAGTTTAATTATTTTGTTTATACTAGTATAGGATATAAGCTTAGAGTATCTTTTAATAGATTTTATAATTAAATATAAAAAAATATGAATGTGTACCTATTTGTATTTATTGAATATAATATATATATATATACATATACACATATATATTTATTTTTAGGATGGTTTAAACTCTGTTAAAAATAGAGGTGTGAGGGATGAAGATAGAGTTGGAGTGGTGTTCACCAACGCAGAGTTTCCATATCGCCCCTTGGCAATTAGTATAAGAAAAAGGAGTCAAATAACGGCCTCACTGATTTTGGTTACTCTGGGCAAGGTTCTACAGAGCAACGCTAGTTTTTTTTACCAACAATCGACCAACTCTATCAATCGATAGGGTTCAGTTACCGGTGGGACGTGGCAGGACGGCTTTGAAGGGCGACACGTACGAGCAATTCTGCAAAAATAAGAGAGGTATCGTAGTTGTTACGGACAATCATTGTCTCGCCTATGCTTTAGCGTTAGGTATAGCCTATCATAAAGACCGAACCGATTTAAAAAAAATTAATTTAAAACTGATCAACATAAATTTGCTACATTCCTTTGGCCAAATTGGTGCAATTTCTGCAATCGTCGGGTCCTATTCGACGTTGTACGATCTGGTATATGCCATTTTTCTAGCATACAGTCCTGGGAAATTACAGACGCTAGCGATAGCGATACACAGGACAATGCGAATATATGAACTGTTTTTTTTGTATATTTAGATTATTTAATTAATTTTGTTCTTAAATATAATTAATTTTTGTATAATTTGTAATATATATTTTAGGTTTAATTTTTTATTTTAGGTTAAATTATATAGTTGTCTTTTTTAAGCTTCCCTGTATTTGATATACTTTTTAGTTGTGTGGAAAAAGCTATAAAAGCTTTATTTTTAAAACATTTACCATTTTATATTTTTCAATATTACACCGAAGACTTTTTTTATTATCATGGATCTAGTTTGGGCATCTTTGATTCGTAATACGAGGAAATCTAGTGTAGTTAAAGACAATACGCACCAACCTAAAACTTTGAAAACATTGTGTAGGGAGGTTATCAATGCTAAAATAAATACTTGTGAAGTGTTTGAAGCTAAACTAAGTGAAACAGTTGTTAACGAGGTGTTTCAAAACCGGGTTCAAGACTTCGCCATGAGTTTTAATTTGGACGACTCTGTGTTATTTAAAAATATATTCGGCCCCATAACCGACTTTTGGGGTGAAGAAGCTTTGAGGCGGTTTTGGGGGTTTAGGAGAGCAGAGCAATTCTGCGTTACAGATAAGTTCTACCATACGACCTATGGTAGAGTGTGCGAACAATGCGTACAGCAGAATTGCCTGAAAAGGGTTCCGGAATTTCGAATTAAAATGTTCAGCAGGAATCATATCCCTATGCTATTAAGCGAAATAAGCGATTTGGTTCTGCACCCCGACAGCTGGTGCAATTTTTGTACCAGGCGTCTCCTCGTCGACATAGTGCCATCGAATAGATGCCACATGGCATATGTCGTAGACGGGGACCCTGACCCGTGTGAAGAAATCCACCCAGCAGAAGGGCCGAAGAGGACCAAGACGTTGATGATGGTTTTGAAGAATGGCCATAATAGTTTAAATATATATTTTAGTTACAAATATTCCTTCCAAGAGGCCACAACGATAGATAGGGTATGCAATAAGGTAATTAGGATTTATTCCTCCTAAAGGTTCCGGAGGTAATACTCCCCTCGCTCCGCACCTGACAAGAGACGTCTCCCGGGGCTAACCAGCAGGAACTGGTCATGGCGCCCGAGCACCGGACTTGGACCCCGGACAAGTCCACCCTACACCTAGATTACCCAGGGCGGACTTGGTAGTGTTGCTCGAGGAGCTGGCAATCGGACTCAAGGAGGTGCCGATGCAACGCGTGGTATTTCCGACCTACCAAGGGGAGGACCACGATAATCCGCAG